TTCCAGGAGAACTGATGATGCTCAAGCATCTGTGAGGTTTATTCAATCTCCTACTCCTAAGCCTGCAATTTACCCTAGATTAGAGATGGACTCCTCCACAGGAATCTTGTCCATTCGCTGATCACTTTCTGAAAAAGAATTCGGCTGGAAAAGACAAACAAAAAAGAGAATCAGAGGCCAGAAATTCTTTTTACATATTCTCTTATTGCCTTGACCCGTATAAAAACGCGGGTACGAAAAAATGGCACTCTCTTTGACGCGTCTTTAAACTTTTACGCGTCTAACATTTCTTTAAACGGATTACTGTCCTCAAGGACCAGTTCTTCCTCCTTCTTTTCTTCGACGGTTTTATCCGCCTCTTCCAGCCCCAGCAAATCTTCCACTGGTTGGGCTTCCGGATCCTGCTGATCCTCCGGCGTCAGCATCCGCACCAGTTCTCTCATGTACGATGACTGTACAGAAAAGACAAAAGAAAATGAATCTTGTCCATTCGCTGATCACTTTCTGAAAAAGAATTCGGCTGGAAAAGACAAACAAAAAAGAGAATCAGAGGCCAGAAATTCTTTTTACATCTTCTCTTATTGCCTTGACCCATATAAAAAACGCGGGTACGAAATAATGGCACTTTCTTTGACGCGTCTTTAATACTTCTACGCGTTCAACATTTCTTTAAACGGATTACTGTCCTCAAGGACCAGTTTCTCCTCCTTCTCTTCTTCGACGGGTTTATCCGCCTCTTCCAGCCCCAGCAGATCTTCCACCGGTTGGGCTTCCGGATCCCGCTGATCCTCCGGCGTCAGCATGCGCACCAGCTCCCTCATGTACGATGACTGTACAGAAAAGACAAAAGAAAAAGCCCCAAGCAAAGCATCAAAAATTATTGCATGCGTTGTTTTGTATTTACATGCTAACCGTTTACCTTGTCTAAATGTTGAGACTCTTGGGGACCTAGCCCTGATATCCGCATAGTTCTGAGAGAAAACTTCAAACTCCTCATCATCAGAATCTAGCCCATTAAAAAATATGTTGGGCATAGATCCTACTATGCATTCTTTAACTTTAGCTTTATCCAACTTTAGAATTCTTTTCTTTCTCTATTTTTGAAAAAGGCATGCACAAAAAAGCAAAGCAAGCATGAAAGCAAAAAGCATTGTTAATCATTTTTATTAAAACAAAAGAAAAATTGGCTAACCTTGTTCCTGATGAACTTCACAAGCCAGACCAAAAATACAGCCAGAGACGTGGCTCCAGCCCCTCCAAGGCCCATAAAAACCAGGACCATGGCTGTCCACGGGTCCACGTCCGCCTCGACGTGCGCAACACCATGCTTGATGTTGACCGTCACTTCCGGCGTCGACGACGGTGCCTTGATGACGTGTGGCACCTCTTGGGCCACCACGACGCTTTGCTGCGTCGAGGGCGGCGCCCGAGCCACGAACGGCGTTTTGCTCGCCGGCACGTGGACGACCACCAGGTTGGCTGTCGGCGCCACCAGGCGAGGCTCATCTGTACATACAAAAATTTTATTAATATCTGGTGAAGGAAATTTTGTCTTGGTGTTGGTCAAGTGTTGGATATGTGTTATAATGTTATGTGTGTGAGTTGTGTTTTTGTAATGTTTATGCTTGTGTGAGAAAATTGACAAAAGACAAACTCACCAACCACCGGCGGAACTGCCGCCGTCGAAACTTCCGGCTCGGGTGGCACAACTTCCTCGCACCACCTCCAAGGCGTCACGACACGATCCATGTCGGCCCGACGCCCAACGCAGACCGTCGGCGACAGCAGCTTCACCTCCTACAAACAGGACTGGCTGTCATGCCCGCACTTGTTTCATTTTTCTCGACACTCACCTTGAGATCCGCCTGCCTGACGCAGTCCAGGAACAGCGTCGCTCCAACGAACGTCACGCGGCGCCCGTAGCCGCCGGCGCCCCTCACCTCCTCGCCGCACACGTCCCGACACACGAACGCCCCGTCTTCTGGACCACAGTCTGCTCCAGCAGCCGCAACACCGACGACCAGCAACACCAGGATCCTCAGGAACGCCATCTGCGAAAAATTTTCAAAAATTCTATTATTTCTGAAAGAAAATTTTTTTTTTGTTTGAACTTACTTTTCACTTGCTGAAATCTTCTCTTGACGAAGTTGAAGATCCACAACAGTACAAAGTCACTGGATAAACGTACGATTCGCGAAACAATGTTTGAGGCCACCAGCTCCAGGAGACCCATCAACTTTTGTCGACTCCTGGAGACAGGAAGTCGTTAACGACGCGTCCGCGTCCGAGACGAAAATCGAAAAATTACGATCAGAAAAATTTGAAAAAAATAAGTTAAGGTAACAACACTCACCAAAGACTACCGCCAAAATTTCAGGCCCAACGGATCATCCGTTAACGAATGGCACTCGATGCCAACTGAAGAAGATATTTCCATTCTTCTTGATCCGAACATCTGTCGGATCCATGCCTGATTCCTCCTGATGGATAGCAATAACAATTGCCATTTCCATAAAGCCTTTATGGCTCCTGAAAGAAACAGCAACGGAAAATAGGGCACTGTCGCACTGAGTCTCGCACTTGGTTCACTTGTTGTTCTTTTTCTGCTGACTTTCATAAAAGGATGGAACCTTTTTTTTTATTGTGCGGGGTGAGTTTGTTATCTTAGAAATACATTAACTTACAGAATACCCTTTTTGGAAGTTTCAGAAGAAACCATTTAGAAAGCCTAGAAACGGAAATCATGGAAGCATAGATAATTGCTTCCTTTTCCTTTGTGAGAAGATTTGACAACTTCTCATGATTAGTTACAATAGCCTTCCTTACGGTAATTAGGGTACAATCAATCCTGGAACCCTGGTGAGCTCAACTCTGTGTGAAATCCAGTGATATTCGGATCCCTCGTTCATGTGGCGCATGGTCATTATTACTGAAGTATAACCAGCGCACTCATATTTCACTCAGAGTGATTTCCACATTATTTCCTTTCACGGATTGGGATTTCCGCTATTAAGGTCGCGTCGATTATTTCCTTTGTTCCCTCACCTAGGCTGGCTAAGGCTTAAATACCCCTGCTTGGTGAAAACACAAGAGAGATCTCATCCAAGCTTCATACAGTAAACTCCATAGCCAAAGCCTTGTTAAAGCTCAAACCTATATTAAAGTAAAGTACAAGCTGGACTTGTGTACTTGTGTATTTGTATTGTTGTATTGAATGTTTGTATGTGGATGAGAATATTGTATAAAGATATTTGATCCAGAATAAGAACTTAGTTCTTTTATTCTCGACTCAGTCCTGTAATAGAAAGGACAACATATTTTTCTTCAGATATTTTGTTTGCTTTCGGACGACGATTCCCCGCAAATATTCACGAAAATTAAATTTCCCGTGAATTAAAAATATAGACTCAAATAAATTGCAAAATCGTTTTTGCTTCCTCGGCTCAGCAGTTAATGTAGACGTGGTTGATGGAATACACCCCTGCCAGGTTAAATGAATGTTTGGATAATGTGTGTTTATTTCACTACATTCTGATTTTACCAGGAACTGAACCTTTAGTCCCAACAGTCAACATAAAACGATCTCACTCGTCAAAATTTCTAACTAAACAGTAGGTATAGCTCGGTCCGGAAAAACTGCGTGACCCAAAATTTCAGCGGATTCAGATGAATTTTTCATAGTTTTGCGGGAACATCATCTGTGAGCATTGGAGAGTATTCCAGGGGCATGATCACAAGGATTTCGTGATGGTTATTTGCTTTGAACAGAAGGAAGTTTCAACTCATTGAAATTTTAGTTTTATTGACTCAGCTCACAAGATCAAAAGATACGAAGAACCACGAAATACGCGGTTCTTCCTCAGCATTTTATTTACCCAGTCGTCTCATTTTCCCTTCCCGTCGCTCTTGTTTGAATGCGTTTCTTTCGAAACGTAAAAGAAAAACTGCTGATTTCATACCATGTGTCTTTTAAAATTCTGTTTAAACCCGAATGCGCATATATAGGAAATATGGGGAACGTTTGCAGGCTTCCCTCAGATCGTTAATTAGGCATAAAGCTTGTTCTGGGAACGACGTATGCATAACGAAAAAGGCTTCCTAAACCCACATATTTTAAAGCTTTCAAAAATAAGCTTCTGATGCAAGCTCTCGAAAGCCAGCATATTGCTTATCCTGAAATTATGATCTTCTTGCTAATTTCTTTTTTTGCTCAACCAGCACGTCTCTCGAGCGAAGAAGATTTTCGCGATGTTGGTGTATTGAAAAATCGGAGAGAAAACGCATTAGCGAAATTAGCATAAATTTAATTAAATGGAATGCAAGAAATACTCGGATGTGTTCACGACTCCAGCTTGACATGTGTCGGTGGAATCTGTTCTTTCGAAGTTTTTGCGAAGTGAATTTTGCAACAAGAAAAAAGACTATGATCCCACCATTCCCACGTGACATTTCCCGATCTTGTTCATCTTGTGTTACTAATTTTTTTGTTGTTGTCTGGGTTCGCATATATAGGAAAGTGAAGGACTGGTGTTATGATGCTGTGTTTTTATCCGGTGATTCGCGAAACTACTATAATGGAAATCCTTATTGGGTTTGTGGGCATTGCAGCCTGATTTCGTGTCACAACTTGGTACCAAGCAATCCATCGAGATCGTGTCAGTGGCAAGCCGGGAGACGGAGAGATTTTGGGTCAGGGTGCTCTGCCAAAATATCAGTATTCCTTTTTTAACATATTTTTACTGCAGTAATCGTGCTGTCCTGTCCGAAATTTCGAATAAACCATGCATTAGATTCAAGTTGGCTATAAAAAAAAAGTTTAAGACATGTTTTTGACATGGATATTATGGTATTAAAGTGCAAACACTAACCTTCCTAGTAGCATGAATCGCCTAGTTAAACAGATTATTTTTGCCTTTTCGTTATGTTGATGACGTGACTCGCTTTAATCTCTGCATGCTGCACGACATAAAAAAATATAACTTTAAACTCAATCGAACAAAATCAGCGAACAATGTCGTTTAAAGTTCAATTTTAGATTTTTCATGACTTTTGATTAAACAGATTGAATATCCAGCCATTAAGCCGGAAAATACAGGTTTGGAAAATACTTTATTGTGGATATAACAGAGTGATTTGAAGCGATATCAAATTTTAAAAATAAAAATACTGTAATATAATTTCTTTTATCGAGATATCCGATACGTTCAAATTTCACTATGCCATTCAAATCTGTTCGCTGTTCCATGAAAAAAAAACGATAAATTGACAACATCCCAGTATTGAGTTATTGACGAGGTCTCTTAAGGGAAACTAGATTTTGAATATTTTTAAAAATAAGGTCATTTGCTAGGCTTGAGGAGCATGAACCTTTGAGAGTTTAGTAAATTAAAGTTTTTACAGTTTTTTAATGCCAAATACTTTACCATGACACCATATTTCTTATTCCTTGGCTCTAACTATTCGAATCTTTCTTTTCTTCAGAAATGCCTCGTTTTATAGAACAGCTTGCTATCCGAAAATAATAAAAAGTTTTAAAATAAGACCAATCGCTATACTCGTTAGGCTAAAGCAGTGTGCGAACTTGAAATCATTTTTCGTTCCTTTTTTAAATTTTTAATGCCACACACGATGACCAAAGCACCGTCTTTTATGTCATATTGTTTTCCCGAATTCATCGAAGCTGTATTTTCAGTATACTCATGAATGCAGTGTTTTATTAAAAATCCTGCTGTATCCAAAAATGAAACAGAATTTGAAAATAGCTACGATCGCTATTGGTTAGGCTACAGCAGTGTGCACAATGTAAATTATTTTATGTTCCTTTTTTTTGAAGATTTTTAATGCCACACAAGAAACCAAGTATTTTATGCCCAGCGGTTCTCCCGATTCGAATCTGTGTTTTCCTTAGAAGTGCCGTGTTTTATGTGAAACACCCCGCTATCTGAAGATGAAACAAGTTTTGGATCACAGATAATAAAGCCGAATACAAGAGAAACGCGCGATACAGTACCGATCAGAGCGAGACAGCAGTGACCGAAAGTGCCGGGCGAGAAAATCGTCGCGAATAGGGCGTCGTTCCAACATTGTCGTTATCGTCCTCGTGCTTCATCCCAGCAGGAACCCATTCATTTCACTCTAGTGAGTATCCAACATTTGTCTACTCTTTGTTTTCTTCCTTATTTTCCGACTGTATCCGGAGATTCGCTCTTTGGTTTCTAATCTCTGCGATATCCGAACCCTTTAATAGTAACAGTGCCGCAGATGTCAGTGACGGTCCTCTGCTCAGATTTTATTGGAGCAAGACGCGACTGGCTGCGGCAGTCGTGAGCGTAAATCGCTTCGCGTGAAAGCACGCCAACACGACACTGCACTTGGGAACCTACGATGAGTCATTTCCTTTCTGCCAGATCTTTCATTCAACAAATCAACCTTTTAATGCTGTCACAGATTGAGGATCATGTGCATGAATTTAAGAAAATTAAATCAATTTTCTGCCGAACCGAGCTTTGAAAATTTGACGGCATGTGGTTTGAAAAAAGACTTGAGTGCGGTGCAATGAGAGGAGTATATCTTTATTTAATTCCTTTGTTTCGGCATATTGTGGTGAAGTAAGAATTCCCTTGTTCCCCTTCGGTGACTGCTTTTTAGGGCAAGAAAATGGTACTTTAAACGAATCAACCCTGATGATGACACAGATTGAGAAAGATTATGTGCGTAGATCCAAGATAATGCTTTCATTTGGACAAGTCAAAGTTTAAAAATTGGATGGCGTCTGGTTTTAAAAAAGACTTCAGTGCGATGCAATGAGAGGACTATACCTAAATTTAATTACATTGTTTCGGTATTCTGTGGTGAAGGAAAAATTCCCTTGTTCCCTTTTGGTGACTGCTTTTTAGGGCAAGAAAATAAAAAAATGTTACTTTTAACGAAGCAAACCTGATGATGATGACACAGATTGAGAAAAATTAGGTGCGTCGATCCAAGATAATGCTTTCATTTGCACAAGTCAAAGTTTAAAAATTGGATGGCATCTGGTTTTAAAAAGTTCAGTCCGATGCAATGAGAGGAGTATACCTACATTTAATTCCATTGTTTCGGTATACAGTATTGTGGTGAAGGAAAAATTCCCTTGTTCCCGTTTGGTGACTGCTTTTCAGGGCAAGAAAATCAAGAAAATGTCACTTTTAACAAAGCAGCCCCACTGCTGTTATCGATTGAGGATTATGTGCGAGG